AAAGTTTATCAAAATGAACATATACCGTATTTAGCTTAACTGAATTTATTAATCTTAACTGTCCAGATTCTAAGAACACTTAAGTATTCATTAAATCATCCCAAAGTTAGACAAGTGTTTATGACTTATTTGAAAGACTTGAATACTAAATGAAGCAACATCCTTCACTTGGTCATATTATCCATACAACGATGTATCTAAAATGGCTCATCATGAAAATATGTTAAATTACAGTCAGAATGGGATACTGTCACTCCCTGTTTCCATTCCCCCTGATCTCTCTCCCCAGTCTGGCTCTAACAAGCCACACCTGCTAATTATTTGTCTTGCCTCTTGTTTCAGCCCTTGTGTGACACACTCCAGCTGCCTCTCATCTGCTCCCTCATCAGTGGTGTTATAAAGTGCCTCCCAGTCTTGAGCTCCCAGTCCAGTCATTGATGTCATCCTCTGCATGTTTGCTAACGTTGCTCCTGTCTGTTATCCCTTGGTTTTGATCCCTCGAGATCCTTTTGTTTTGCCCCCATTCCCAAATAAAGCCCCGTTTGGTTTCTGCCCTGAATCCTGCTCCCATGTCCTTCCTCCAGCTACGCCCTGAAGTGACAGAGACATAGTATGACACGCACACATATGTTATTTTTCATGATCTGGATCAATGCCATCGGTTGTTAGCCAGGGTCTGCAAAGAAGGAAAAAAATTCTTCGAACATGCACAGCATAATCACTTGTATGGTCCATAACCAGAAGACACTCATTAACAATACAATGATTTCTGCTCCCTCGTCACTCCCATGGTTGAAAAATTTTGGCCCAGCCAAGCTTGGTCATCAAAAATCACACACTAGGCTGCATCGAAAAAATGGCAGGGTCGTTAAGCAATTTATCACATTTAAAGGACAGAAATTCAAAGGGCTCCAATTGTTGGCTACAGACCATGACAGAATCACAGCAGAAATTCAGACCCAAAAGTTCTGTGAGGCAGCTAGTAATGATATGTTGAAGAAATATGGAATTTGTTGACGCGATGACTGTAGGTTATTAAGAGACAGCAACTTATAACAAGGGTTATGCAAAGCTCTGAAACAAGATGCATGAGTGAGGTGATGTCATAAAAAAATGAAGGCGGCCCCACAAGCGTGATTTAAAAAGCTCATAAACGACTGGGGCAGATGATAAAGGCAACAAATGCTGCCACTTGACGACTTTTAAGAGGGCGGTCCTCGTTAATTCCCAGCACATCTGAAGCTACCGGGAGCTTCTGAAAACACTGTCAGGTGCTATGGATGGAAGGCCTTGTTGTTTCCCCTTTAACGCAAGAATGACAGTGGGGGCTAGGCAAACTGAGAAAAGATTTTGACATAACACCTCAGTTGCATCATTCAAATATGTGCGTACTCAAAGACTTAGCTTTGGGGGGGAGTGTAATGTTGTAATATCTGTTGTTCATAAAAGTGCAGCTAAATCAATGTACATGCATATTGTTAAAATATACACACAAAAATGGTATTTTTAATCTCTCTTGCTCTCTCTCTCTCTCTCTCTCTCACACACACACACACACACACACACACACACACACACAGATTTATATTCATATCTTTGTGGGAAAAACTCTAATCCCAACAATGACGACCTTAACCCCTACCCAGCCCTAATCTTAACCAGAAGTAACCAAACAAATTACAAGACTTTAGGCATTTTTAGTTTCTTGATCGAGGTCACAGATTTTCATAAAACTGAATTTCCCCTTGTGGGGACCTAAACAATGGCCTCCACAACATCAGAACAACAGGTTTTTAATCATATTGTGGGGATGTTTGGTCCCCACAATGTAATGTATATCTCACCCACACACACACACACACATCAGGAGAACACATCATATATAAAATACCACAGTGATCTGTTTCCCATTTAACCACAAAAACGTCCTTAGGCTATAGACTCTTATAAGCTTTGGGATATAATGACCTTTTATTGCAAAACGTATAATATATTACTCGGCTTGGTACAGTCATAAGCGTGTATGTTTCCAATATCATTAATTTCTTGGACACACACATTTCTAGAGAATGTATAGAACCTGTCAAATCTGATGCAATTTATAGAGAATCTGATGGCTCATATTTTATTTTTTTCCTCCAATTTTATATGAAATTATACTCTAAATATCCTTCTCAGGATCACACAGACTCCATTTTTCTTATCATGTGATGAACTTCCTGCTTTTTCTCCTTCTCCTTGGGGAGCTTCGCAATCCCACAAATCTGATCAATAATTCTGAGGTATTTCATTAGGTCTCACCACCCTAAAAAGGCACCAAAAGACCACAAGGCATTGATTATTCCTAATTGTAGTGCGTTGCTTTCCATTCGGAAGGTGGGGCCAAAGTAAAAAGACATTTCCTAAAAATGCTAACATGCTGTCATGTAAAATTATCTACCAGCATCAGCAAAAAAACACGAACGCAGTTGCCTGTTAGCGTGTGGTTGTTGCACAGATGCATCTGCAGTGCTTGAGAGATTCTTCCATTCTTCCAAGTAAACAGAGATGTGAGCACAGATAGGATCACTTCATCCTGGCCAGGCCAGAAAGGTTACAGATGTACAGTAGGAATACATTTTACTAAAGGCGGAGCACATCTTCTCCTGCTTATGCACAAGCCACCATGCAACCTCTTCACATTTGCACACATTGCTGGATTTTCCTGAGTGAATCTCTGTCTTTTTCTTATTTTCCTAAAAAAAAAAAAAAAAAATCGATTAACTATCCTCACGCAACGTCACGCGTGTGAAACTTCAAAACTGTGGTTCTCACAGGCCAGTATTGAGTACAATCAAGTGCAAAAGGAAAATCCTTTATCCCACAGCTGTTGTAGGTGTTTGTCTGGGGGGGGATATAATAATCTGTAGCTTCTCATATTTTTATGTTTTCACTCCAATCATAAATAATGATGCAACCCAAATAATATTTTCTTTCTTCATTTTGAAAATATTCAGGACTCCCTAAGTCTAGTTTGTGACAATCTAGTTAGCAAGACTTTTTATATTACATTCATATGTAGTAAACAGAAATAAAATAAATGATTGGAAACAAAGATAAAATTCAAAAATGATAAGAAAAACTCTTGAAATAATACATCCTGCTCCTTGTTCTTAGGATCAGAGGCCTTCTGAAATGTTTTCTGTATGCTAAGGGGGTTCTGCACGAGTTATCATTAAATATAAAATATTACCACCACCTAATAATTGCTCCTGCATTATTCAGTAACCTAGTTTCTCTCTTCCTGAGATTGCATTCTAGGGTAATAATTCTATTATCTAGCAATGGATAGATTTACGTGCTATAAAGCCAAAGTCATCATGCATCAAACAACAAGACTGTCCTTGTGGGAGGGTTGTAAGTATATTATGGGATGTCACGAGCACTGACTTTTCCGCTCCCATGCCGGTAGGTAGCGTACCTACATGCTAGGAATGCTGGGATGCTCGTAATCAAGGGATTGTGAATCGATAGGTTGTGAATATCGCTACCGTGCCCAAATTAGCCTTTATTAATTACGCTACCCTACAGGTAGAGCTCAAACCTGGCCAGAATTGAAGGATAAGCCATTTACTGTAGGAGGTGTGACATTACGTCTGAGTAGCAATTTGTATAAAACCTGTATGGTACCTAAAATAAATACCGTCATCATTTATTTTGAAAATTGAATTTTCACCTGAGTTTGGTTGGTGAATCAATGGTTTTCATGTTTCAAGTGTGTAGCACTCAAGTTAAGTGTAGAAGTTTGGGAAGCTACCTAGAGTAAATCAGGAGCACGTAATGATCCATAACCAATAGCATCACAATGAGAAACCAGAGATCTGGTCATTTCTCAGCTTTCCCAGTGATACACCTTGACCTCAAAGACATAGTTTGGGGCTTTTCCCATTTCAGGAAATGACAATTAATTAATGTAAAAGTACTCACAACTGTAGATGCTTCAATTCATCTTTAGATGACTATCATTTAATACTGAGTACAGAACAAAAACACCAGAACTGCAAGTGTAATCAATGAATATTGAAATATACTTCAGTTTACAGCAAAATCTGCATATAATGGAAGGTCAAATCAATAAAGTGAAAGCATGGAACACATCAAAAACTTCAGTGTTATATCTGAATTTCATATATAGCCATAGTTTCATGAAGTACTACACTTCATAAATAAAAGTTATACCATAGTAACAATACTTATTCTCTGAGATAATAATTGTTCATAAAGAGTAATGGGCTCCTCTAGTATTTAGTTTGAACTGCTGTCATTATGTTTTGCATGGCATGTAAACAGATTCCTTGCAGCAGTAAAACCACATGTGCAAGCGGTTGGTTACAGAGCAGCACAGCACTTGGCCTGGTCATATTGCTGTAAGTAACTCTTCACTGGAGGTCTGATACGTACAATAGCTTCTTCTTCTCCCATGAGCATGTTCCAGAAAACATATTTGTCTGATGCAAGCCTTTATGGATCCACTCTGTTATATTGTCACGTAACTGGAAGGGGCAGAGGAATTGTTACTGTGGTTAATCAGGAACGGCACATCTGAGCAAGCTGAGGCCACCAAGGGGCACCTGAATAAATGGTTTATAAGGACTGTGGGAGACACAAGCTAGTATTAAAAGCAAACAAAATCCAGTTTATTATGCAATAGCGGCGTTTTACAGCCTCTTATCAGGAAAATGGCTGCATATGGGAATATGCCTTTTTATGGGGACAATCCCTGCAAAACGAACTCAGGAATCCCTCACACACGTGTGCACTTAGCTAAAAACAGGCGCTATTAATTAACGATTAAGAAATTATTCTTTTCGGAAATAAACTTGTTTAAAAACACAAGCTCGTAACAGAAAAACAATAAAAATGCAGTACTAGGAGGAGTGTTGAGTGTTGTGCAACATGAGTACCAAAAGCTTAACATCACAAAGAAAAAAACATCTAGAAAAGAGAAGCAGCACCTGTTATTTCCTTGAATGGTTTATTTTATGCCTCATCCCTTTTTTTCCCTGAGAGTTATCAGTTGCAAGGACAAATCTGATGGCAAATTTTATTGGTGAATTTGATGTTATCTTTCAAAGGGACTGAAGTCAGCTGGCAGTGCACCTCAGACGGCATGCAAACGCGAGGGTCAGTATGCGAGTAAGAAGAACCCAAAGAGTGTTTCTGCAGCATATGCTAACGTTTGCAAATGCAATAAACACGGTTTGCTCCAGTCTCTTGCTGATGTGACTCCGGGGTGTGCAGGTGACACATCATCTCACAAACGCCACGGAGAATGACGCTCCATTTCACATCACTCATTGCTTTTTTCGTTCTTCTAAGAACCACAATATTTTCTTCCAGCAAGGCCGTGACTCTAAAACACCCTGGAAGTTCAAATAATTAAAACAAATGAAAAACACAAGCAAATGTATCCTCAAAAAGAATGAGTAGATCCATAACATCTCATTCTACCTAAAGCTAAATCAGCAGAAGATGTTACAGGCTTCCCCATCATACACAAGGAAGAAGGTACAGTACTATGTTGTATTTCAACCATACTGTAATGCAGCTGTATATTATACATCAACAGCTAAATTAAAGAACAAATATAGCAATGATAAAAAAATAATAATTTAGAAGCACTTAAGCCAACACTTCTTACTTTACTGCAAATTCATATGAAACCATTCACTTTCAACACAGGGTTTTGACAAATTGACGAAGAAAGCATGCATAAATAATTAATAATGCATGACAGAAAAAAAAAAAAAAAAAATGCTTTTGGTCTCTCTCCACAGACATGCAAAGGCAATTAATTTCTAGGGGAAAGTGATGGTGCTTCTGTAAATAATTATTCTTCTTGTCAAGTCAACATATGCAATACCATTATCCCAGGAGCAATCACTGTTAATTGGGTACAATATATACAAGAGAGCATGCGGAAGGGAGCACGCAGAATTATGCTGGCTGCAGTCACGGCAATTACAATAACAGTGTTATCCAGTGTCTCCTATGTAAAGGTACCTAAAGTACTGTGAGGCCCAAACCTAACATTTACCAACAAAGTGAAATCCTGCATCTATCTCTGGCATTCAGAGATTCACAGAAACAGGAAAAAAGACTGATTTCACAGAAGTTCGAAAGCCTCTAGCAAGGTCGAAACTGGGACTAGTTCTTAAGGATGTTTATATAAGAAGCCGTGAATGGGCTCAGGTAGACGTTCTGAATGTGCCCTAGAGGAGGAGATTTCAAACACAAAGCTAAGCCGACTGGTCCAACATAGCTAGCAATCAATTAAAACAGTTTTTAATTTCCGGATGCCACAGACGGACCATGCTAATGAAGAGGCCTTATCATTTTTTTATGATCAATGCAAAATCCTTATCTTATTCATGAACTACCATCCACAGTGTTTTTTAAAAAAATCTATTACAATATTACCAAATATACTGAAAATAAAATCAAAGCTTAAAAAAAATTAAAAAAGAGTGATAACATGGTGCAATAGAATGTTCCCTTTGCTCACCTTGAGCACTTTGAGCAGCTCATCATCCCTGACAGACACCGTGTGCTGATTTTGTTTTTAAGGTGTGAGGCCCCAGGACCCATGGCATGAGATTTTGAAATTCTCCCACTTTAAACACGGCTGCGTACAGAGGGATTAAACAGAAAACTCTATTCGGTCTAACAGGAGAAAACAGAAGAGTGGGGTCATGACAGATTTGCGATGGAAAGATGACAGTTCAAAGGATCATTTAATCCCTCCTTCATGCTAATCGCTTTGGATGGCTGACAGAATTTTCTTGTACTTAAACATGTACCCTGTTTACATCTATCTAGTGTTTTTGGGGAAAATAGGTATTTTTAAACTGTATTTGCATACTTCTTTGAGTAATATGCAGTATGAAAATAGGAGTAAATAAACTCAGAACAAAAAAAAAACATTAAAGAATGTAATACACAAGCCTAATTAATCCTCATTTATTTATGTAGCGTGACTGTTAGCAAAAAGGTCACTGCAGGATGCATTTTAAGAACCATACAACAATTAAAACAAGGTTATTTGTGACTGTGTGTGGTAATGTCTGTGGAAAGAGTACAGATGCATGGAAAAGGAATGTGAAAATCTTTAAAGAGAAACAAGTAGTGGGGAACAAAAACAGGGACAGAATGAAACGCAGTGGGTGAGCATCATCCCTGTTGCGCCAGAGGCTACTCTATAATATCCAGGCAGTGGTGCATGTGGATGGCATGGGGGGCTGGAAGGGGGGGGGGGTACTGGAGCAGGTTGTATTGTGGTCATTGTTCCCAAAGCAGGTACTTCATGTGTGTAGCTACAGTGAAACCCCCAGCTATATAAATTAAGCATAAAAAGCTGCTTATGAAATGGCAACATTCACAACTAAATCAAGTCGATGCACTAGCCTTTCCATGTTAGCTTTGCTGACAGGCCTCTGAGACGATAGGCCTGCCTTACAGGATCGTATTTAAGGTCTGCCCACACATGTGAGAGTTCTTGCAGAATGACAAGCAGTATCTTTTTCATTGCTTTAATTAAGCAGGAGGAGTTTTACACATTGTTGAGTTTAGCTAAGCTCCTGATACTCTAACCCAGGGTTGTTAACTTTGGTCAGCTGGCTGCAGTGAGATTTTTAATTTGAAGCGAGTCTGCACACATATTCACACGCATTTACATGTATGTAACAGTTTTATTGCCTTGTAAATAGTCTAGGATTTGCAGACTATCCCAGTGCTTTTGATATAGCTGATTTTAGGTTTATAATGCAATTATATAGATTTGCTGTAAGATTTCTTTCGTGAGCGTGCAAGTCTGAAAGAGTGAGTCTCACGCCAGATGCGTGAGAGTTAGAAACCCTGGTAACATCAGACAGCGTTTTTTGGTAGACGAATTTCCTTATCCCGATCGTTTGAGCCACAACTGCTCAAAACCACCGTGCAGCTTAACTGAATGCCTTTTTTTGTTTGCTAATTAGGCCAATCATGCTCAACAAGTCCCTAGTCAAGTGAGGAAGGAGACCATCTCTCGTCTCATCTGGAATCGTTCCGAACCGCCGCTGAACTTAGGCTCCTATAGCTTGTCAAAAATCAGATAAATAATAATGAAAAATAAGAAGGGGCCCACGGGACTGATCCGTCCCGGGCCGCTCGCTCATTCTGACAGCTCAGCCGCAGCCACATCCGTCTCGCGGGGTCCGCTTCCATCAAAACAAGTAACTGCAGAAGGGATGGAGTCATGGAGATGAAAGGGAGTAACTAAAGCTGCTCCTCTTTATCAGGCCAGAGTCCGCTGAGGAGACACCGTGCTAGAGGCGCATCCAGACACTGTTACGTAACAGATACAGTCCTTGGCTTGAACACATCCTCAACACTCCTCTAACTCGTCTAAAAGAATCGTCCTTAAACAGAATGCCAGAAATAGTCCATTGCAGGGATAATTCCAGGAACAGCCTTGTCCGAAACCCCGTCCCACATTTTTGATGGACTGTGGTTTCTCCACCTTGCTGTTTTCATTTCATCAACTGGAGCATAATGAACTATACAAGCTTTGTTCCCTGGATCTCCGAGTGTCTTTGTCGAGTTCTCTCCGCTAGGCAGCCAGGGGGAGCAAAAAGGATCGAGAGCGGGAGGTTGGCGGTGGGGTGGGGGGGGGGATGGGTGCAGCAACACCACACAGGTCAAGACATCAAATCTGTAGCAGTGCTCATTTTTGCCTAAGCCTTGGGAATATAGACAAGTGATAACTTTTTCTTTCGCCATCACGTTACGTGCGAATGTTTCTTTTAATATGCAGCGATATTATTATAATTGCAGGATCGGTACTTCTTATGTGTGCAGTATTAGATGATAAGCATCTTTAAAAAAAGGGATTCATTCTTTTGAAGTTTGGGAATTAAGATTTGAAAATATAATAATATCACTATCGGCAAAACATGCCTTTAAGATCAACAGTCACAGCAGATCACAGTAGCTGTGGTCCTGCGCTCCTCATTTGGCCTCATTCTTCTATCAGTGATTGTTTCACTACTGCTTACATTATATTCCGTTCTGTCTGCTTCCACCATGGAAATAAAGACCCATTTTATTTTAAAGACTTCACACCAAATGAGACATTAACTATCGCAGTGGCATTTTCATAGTTTATCTCGCTAATGCAGTGTTTCCCAATCCGGTCCTCGGGGACCCCAGACGGTTCACATTTTTGCTCCCTCCCAGCTCCCGGTAGCAAAAACATGGACTGTCTGCGGGTCCCAGAGGACTGGATTGGGAAATACTGCCCTAATATAAAACTTCCACTTTACCCGTTTTTTAATTAGTTATAATGGATTATGACCTACTGCGTGCCAGAGCCGCTCCCGTTCATCTTGGGTACAGTCAGCCACTCCATCTGACGCAGGATTTTATTGCAATAATCTCAAACTGCCCCTCAGCTGCAGAGTGTGCGGGATGTATGATTTACACTCGGTCCACCTGTCTACTCCTTCCATGCATCTCTCTTTTTTGCCTGTTACAGGTTTCGTTAAATCTTAGCTGGTCCTTTTTGAATTTAATTTAACAAAAATAAAAATACAAGAAAAAGAGATATTATAATAATATTGGATAAGCACTCTCCTTACCCACACCGCGAATCATTATATAATACAAACTTTTCGTAAACGTGCTCGATACCTGATATGTGGCCCACAGCTGTTGGCTTACCCGTTTTCGTTCTCGCGTCCCCTGTGTCCCCAGTGCTCCCATCAAGGCCGCTGGCTGTCATTTCTGTGGCAGCTGTCGTCAGACCTGTGTGGACTCCTGTCCCCCAATAGAATCCCTGCCTTGTCCTCACGTCCCCAAATAGAATCCCTGCCTTGTCCTCCCGTCCCCAAATAGATTGTGCTCCACACTGCAGAGATCTGATCACCATCCTACCTGGAGATGAGTTATTCTCATCTACTTCTTTACTGCATTATTCACTAAAAATACTTACAAGACATCCAGTCAACTTCCTTCACATACAGCACTGAAGAACTACAGGCATATAAACATAATTACTCCCTTAGACCTACACATATCGACATTTTATAATCTTTTCCAGACCTGGAGTTTTTATTGCTCAGACTGATGTAAAAACCTATTTGAAAGAGCAAACAGGGCGATATATAAGGCATCAGAGTTACACTCGTACCGTCTCACGTAAGGCCGGCATTTCCATGTTAGATTTCAGTTTCACTACGGGCTCAGACTCCTAAATCAGCCAAATCGTTATGATGAATATAAATTATTAACCCCCCCACCCCAACGTGAAACGCTGCAGCAAATCACCCCAAAGAGACGCGGCTAATCCCGCCCCCCCAGCACATCGTACGTCTGGGCGCTCACATAAATGCTTCATGCAGCGTTTCCCCGCCTGTAGATAAGGGTCTGGCCGGAGCGCCTTTGCTACTTGACAAGCGTGCAGTAATATTGCATTTCGGAGCAGGGTGCCGAAATCGGCTCCACCCAGCCCAGCCTCCAGGATGCCCCCCACCCCCAGACGCACATGCACGCCCCCCCCACTCTTCCTGATCACATGTAGGCAACAGCAGCTGCTGCTTAAAACCAGCATCCGCAGGGATCGGCCTGGACATTAGCATAAAAAGCATGCAGGAATTCAGGGTTTAGACTGAATACATTTTCTACCATGATGTCATGGTGGTGTGAAGATATTGGTTTGACATCGTGGGCAGTATTTTAAAAATATTAATGTCCCTTCTGGGGTTAGTAGTAAAATCAGCTTAACTTGTTTTGCTAAAAATTGGAAATGGGTAGGACAATAAGTAACTGGGAATGCTAACGGTAACAGCAATGCATTCCGCTCGGAAGAAAGGCCCGGCATTCAGGGTTACCTTTACTGCCCATTATTGCGATTGCAGAATAGGTGGGAGATATTCCAGTGGAGCGAGGCTGCAAATACAATCCCTCATTTGCAAAGTCTACATTTTTTCCTCAGATGCCCCGGAGACAGACTTATGCAACTTAACCACACAGTGAGCACACAGAGGTTTCAAATCAGAGCCAGCCAGCCGGACTTCTCCGTCCCACATAAACCTTTGAACCTTATTTCTGCAACTGCTGTGACAAGAGCTCCCTCTATGTGTGTAAGGTAAAAATGCACCTATTGCTTTCCACTCTTCAGGATTCACTAAATCCTTAAATGAACTCACTACAGCAAATGGACATCAGTGTTAGACTGCACACCGTGTCATTTGTACCATAATAAGTTAAAGCGCTTAATTACCAGCAATGCATAACTTATTGTATTTAGTGTATATCTCAGCTTATCATTTTAAAATTAACAGTAAATATTAAAAGTCTATCCCTTTCTGTATCAAAAAAAAAAGAATTATTTTTCAAGAATGGATTATGCAAAATGACCATGATTGTAAACTTGAAATGTATTGTGGGAAAATATTGTGAATAAAACCTAGGTTTTTAAAAGGGGAAGCACAGTTACCTTTGACCTCCTACCTCATGTTATTCTATGTGCCGTAATTAAACGACAAATCGCCGAGTGGAATATATCACAGTCACTCATGTCTCCGCCTTAAAATGCTGTCAGCCTAAATCTCCCCGAGCATTTACCAACGCAACTGATAAACATCGCACATCGATTTACCCTAAGGCTGACACCTCTCTGTCTGCTCTGGATGCTGTCTTAGCGCATTAAACATTAAACATCCATTTGTGCTAAATTTAAATACCCGTCTGTACTTTGGGTCTCATTGAAATAGCTGAAAACAGACATGTAAGCAACGTTAAAAGTGAGCGAAAATGAAGCGGATTGTGATTGTTCAAAGGAATGGATGAAGAATATCCTAGTCTTATTATGCTGATATTAATATAAGAAAAAATAGAGTTAAGCCCCTCTGTGGTTAAAAGGCCATCCTCCTTTTATCTTATTGGCTGCAGGGGTGCCGTAAAGGGGGGGGGGGGGTGTTAGGACAATTCCAAGGGCCCCTAAGTGACAGGACCTGTAAAAAAATTGAAATATAATTGGATTAGTTTGGGTTGGGGGCCCAATATGATATGCTCTCATGGGGGCCAAAATCCCTAACGGCCCCCTGGGTTGGGTGTATGAAGCTCCCAGTGCAAAGGGGCCATTTTTTCTCTAACACTGGATTCAAATGAGGTTTTTCCAATATGATAAAGCCTTTCTTTACAAATAACTTTTTAATGTCAGGAAAATCTGTTCTTTCACAAAAAAAGCTAGAGTAATATTCCTGGGAAAACAAATGATCAAATTATAAGGTAATCGCCTTCATTATGGCAACAAATGGCATCATTCTGCTACAGTGAATCTGAAATGAATCAACGGCTGCTTCTCCGACATTAATTTGTATAACTGGCCGTTTGAATGAACTTCGAATAAGCAGGCATATCACTTCTGAGCTGATGTCTCTCTTGAAATCATTGGCTTTTTCTCCATATTTGGTGAATAAGAAACAATAACAAGATATTTGTCATTTGGTCTGATTAAAGATGAACATGCCAAAATATAAATATGGGCACTACAGCCAGGACAGCTGATGACATACAAGAGAACAATGGTCCTTGTTGTTCACGTAAGTCAGAGTGACAAAAAACTCTAACTGCAGGATGAACCTCACAGACTGGCTGCCAATGTCCTCATCTGTGAGGGACTTACAAGGGCCTGTTTGTAAATATACTCCATGCTAAATTAAATTTGACCGACTGAAAAATAGTAAAAGCGTCAATGTAACAGCTAGATGCTGAAGGTCAGAAACAAGATATAGAAATCAGATACTGAAAGGAACATACATCTTACAGGCATGCAAAGACAGGAATATGCATGTGAAAGGCATGCAAAATGACAGGAATATGCATGATATAAGCATGTAAAAAGGTAGGAATTTGCGTGTTATAGGCATATACAAAGACAGGAATATGCATGTTATAGCCATGTAAAAAGATAGGAAATTGCATGTTATAAGCATATAAAAGGATAGGAATATGCATGTTACAGGCATGTAAAGATAGGAATATGCGTGTTATAGGCATATAAAAAGCTAGGAATTTGCATGTTATTGGCATGTATAAAGATAGGAATATGCAGGTTATAGGCATATAAAAATGTAGGAATTTGCATGTTATTGGCATGTATAAAGATAGGAATATGCAGGTTATAGGCAGGTATGAAAATAGGAATTTGTGTGTTATAGGTATGTATAAAGATAAGAAATTGCATGTTATAAGCATGTGTAATGGATATGATACTGTTATTAGTTTCCGAGAACGGCATAGAAAAAAAGCTTCTATTTCTAAGTTCTGTTGATTGCTTGTACTTTTATCGTGTCATAACCCAGATCGCTGACATCATTTCAACAAAGGGGACCGAAATCACAGATCTTAATCTGCTCATTCGATTGAATGTGCAGAGTTGCAGAAACACTGGAGCCATGCAGCTGCTGATCATACAAGCTCATATTTCGCAGGAGGACCAGTATGGCGACAGGCCCTCCTCTGGGTTTGTGCCGCTGAGGGTTTCCAGTGGCAGCTCAATGGGATTCATCTGTAACGTTTACCATAACTAGCTGTGCTTCAAACGGTAATGCAACATCTGGCTAATGTTAGCGTGCGATGTGTCACTGGACACAGTTCAGTCCTCGACCCTCAACCTTGGCCACTTCCTTCGATAGGGTGCTACGCATAATTAGCCCAGCCAGAACAAAGGTGAGTACATTTGCACACGCAGCTGCTCGTCTGAGAGTGTGACCTTAAATGAATTCTGGTATGATTAATATCCCTTTCCCGGCTGCTGCAGTGCCAATATATATTGATGGTGTCTGGATGAAGGTCTTGTTCATGTGCAGTGGTGGTCTTTACCTCCACTAAAACCGTGCACTTGCATAGGCCCCTGAGGTTTGGGGGCCCTCTGTTGGCCACAAACAGTCAATACACTAAACATTAAATAAGTGTCTTCTTCATTTAGGAGATGCTGAGGCAGCATGTTCTGCTAAGCAGCTAGCTGGGATCTCCGGAATCTACTTGCTAGCTATTTATTTCGTTTTTGAAACATCCTTGGGGGTGGGGGGGGGGCAGTGAGGGTAAACTGGCTTTTTGTGTGGGGCCCTAGAATCAACAAACCCAGGCCTGTTCATGTGACACAACTGTTATTCGGCAGCTGCGATAGCAAAGCTGTCTGCACTGTCTGCACTGCACAGACTGTCTGCACTGTCTGCACTGCACAGACTGTCTGCACTGCACTGACTGTCTGCACTGCACTGCACTGACTATCTGCACTGTCAAAGGGTCGTGTATCTATCACAGGATAAAGCCATGCTGATGATACAAAGCAGCCGCCTGCTTTCCAGACATTTAGTCCCTGAGATGAGAGATACTGCCTGCATGGCTTACTTCAGTGCCTGCAATCAGTAAAGCAGAGTAATGTAGAGTAATGTAGAGTAATGAAGAATTCTTAGCTTGCTGAAGCATTTCAGAAATTGCCCTTAGCAGGTCTGTACTCAGTGCCTTGTGTACAAACGGAACTTCTCACCAATGGTTAATACAACAATCATTTTGCTCAGAAACTTCTGATTAACTTACAATGGAAAAACAACAGATAAGTAACTTTATGTCATTTAAGATAAGATATTTGTGAAAACCCAAAGCAGTTGTCGCTCGTTCTGTTTTTCCACATACGTTATGGTTCTGTGCAAATTCTTCCTGCTGATTAAACCTGCAACATAACACCATTATAAAATAAGTTTAAACATGTATTGTGTGTAAAAATGCCCATTCCCCTGATAAGTGTCTATTTAAATGCTAAAATAAATTATTTTGTCCATTTTTATACCTTTTCAGAGTATTAATTTTTCTTTACTCAAATCTGTTGCTTTTGGGGTTTTAAATTTCCACACCATGACATGTGTTACTTGTAGTACAAGCAATTTATTTTGGCCTAGAGAGCATGTTTTGCATGATTTATTAAACTATGACAAATAGGCTAAGATAATGATCTCATATATCTGCCCCTGCCCTTGGCTATTTCAATATTGTCTGAAAAATCGGTATAGTAGTGAAAATAAATGTTTGGGAAATTGCTTTGAGAGTGTTTCCTGAAATGATGTCATATAGATCTATTGTGTAAAAAAAAACACCAGCATTCAATAATGCACCATCTACCTTTGCTGTAATTGCAGCTGTCAATATGCACTAATAAACAGCAGATACTTGAGAGCATATATTGCATCGAAGTGCCCCTCCGACATGGGAGAAACGAAGAAAACGCCTGTGTAATTTTAACGAATAAGTGACTGTTTATGTTAGATAAACTCTGTAAGCCATGTTCTGAGTTAGCATATGTTAATTCGCAGAAAATTAAGCAAATATGACGAAGACCTATGTCCAGCCTTCATGTGATTTAATAAACTTGAACTGCATTTCTGATTGTGATTTGCATTCCAGGAAAATATACCAAGAATATATATATATTTTAAAGTTCGGATAACGGCAAGCATCATTTGCATAAACAAAATGAATTTGCTCAAACCAAGAATGATCCAGTTTAAAGAAAACATATTGACGTAAATATTTATTTGCATTTCTAAGAGGGCAGCAAATCTATGTTAACAGAGGCACTCCTCAGTTATTTCCAATTCACTCTGCTTCATTTAACTTACCACTTTTAAACTGGTTATTTTAAAAGTCATTTCCAGGGACAACTAATGCCATAACTTGGGAAAAGAAAAAAAAACTACCCTCCTAGCATGAGCGTGCAATGTGTCAATGTTCCCAGTACAGAAAAAGGAAGACAATCAGACAGACATATATATAAGTATGTATAAAAATGGAGAGTATATATTTCTGGTTCTATACCTAATTTAAATTCCTACAGGTTTTGGCCAGTAAGTGCAAAGTAAGCCCTCCAGACGTGGCATTTCTTATTTATAAATCTGCGGCGATCACATTTCGCATTAAAGCTTCCTAGGGGGCGGTAGCGTGCAGAGACGGTGCTCAGATTACTCAGTGACACTGGGGACCCGGTCGGGCCGAGTAGGCAGCTATGCCGGCATGGACCTGCTCCGGTGA